AGGTCCTGGTCCCGAAGGAAGGGGAGGGAGAGACTGGGGAAGACCAGAGACAAGGACACGGGAAGCCATGCCCCGAAGACGGGGCAAGGAGGGGTGGCCTAGACGGTGGTGCCACAGAAGAGTCTCGTGAGACAGGAGGCGACACGAACAGGGGGCAGACTCAGGACCAGACCTGGACGCAGCAGAAAACACCTGACCCGACGCTGCTACCTGACCGGACGCGGGGACAGGAGGAGACTCAGTGGTCAGGGTGTAGAGGCTCGACCCCGGCCGACGCGAGAACGTGGCCAGGTGCCGGCCTGTGCGTGCGTCCGTGCAGTGGGTCACCCGCTGACTCGCAGGAGTGAACTGGTGAACCCCCGCATCCTGTAGGTCTGCACCACTCACCAAGTTCGTCGAGAACGAGGGGAGGTACAGGCCAGACAGGGTGCCCGAGGGGGCAGCCGGACACGGGAGGACAGTGGAAAAGTGAGCGAGGACAGGACCCCCAGAGGGGTCAGCCAGGGAGACTGCAACCGGCCGACCAAGCGGCGTGAGTGTGGTGCGGTCCCGAAAGAAGGAGCGAGAAGCCCCAGAGTCAAGTGTAAAGGTGAGGGAGGCCGAAGCCAACGCGGTACCTGAGAGCGCAGCCTCACCCGCACCTGAGGAAGCAGACTCACTAGCACCTAGAGCAGCAGCCGCACCTGTACCTGGAGCAGGAGACTCACGAGCACCCAGAGCAGCAGCCTCACCAGTAGCTAGAGCAGCAGGTCCTATACCTGGGTCAGACGGGACGCACAGGTGACCGGCACGGTCAGCACTAGTAGGCAATGCATACATGGCAGTGAGAATAGCATCATAGTCAAGAGCATATATATCGACCCTCTGCCTAAGCAACTCCACCCAGTCGGGAAGCTCAGCTTCGTCGCCAAACACGGTACGCCAGGCGTCGCTCAGACGGGCGAAGCAGCGGGACGGTGTATGACTACGTGTCCCACAAGGCTGACCAGTCCGAGTACCAGTGCGTATGACGTAAGAGCAGCGAACAGCACTGAGAGACCCTCCACTCTGAGCGTACCACTCACGAAGCTGGCGAGGCGTGAGAGACACGCGAGAGGGTCGCGGGAGCTGCATCTGGCCGCCACCACGAGTAGAAGCAGCAGGAGTGGTAGTAGGAGTAGCGCCGCCACCCCTACAGCCCCAACCAGCGTACCACTCACGCAGCTGCTGGGGCGTGAGGGACTCACGCAGGCGTCGATGGGGCTGCATCTGGCTCCGCAAGTAGAAGCAGGAGCAGGACTAGCAGCAGGAAGGCAGGCAGCCAGGCAAGCCAAAAGGCAGGCAGGCAGGCAAGCAGGCGACGCGCAGCGTGCTAGCAGGGCAAGAGCTCACCAGTGGTGGGAAGAGTAGGCTCGGCGACTCAGCGGCTCGGCAGCTCGGCGGCTCGGCGGCTCGGGCGACAAGGCGGCTCGACAGCAACTGCAGCTCAGCAGCTCGGTGACTCGGCGGCTCGGCGGCAGGGCGGCTCGGCAGCAACTGCAGCTCAGCAGCTCAGCGACCCGGCGGCTCGGCGGCAGGGCGGCTCGGCTGCTGGGCGGCTCGGGTGCAGGGCGGCTCGGCGGTGGGGCGGCTCGGCTGCTGCAGGTGAGCGGCTCGGCTGCTGCAGTGGGAGATGAAGGAGGAGGAGAAGCGGGGGAGGCCACACACCTGCCACCCCTCTGCGGGGCCCCCGAAGGAGCCGCGACGGGCGACGGGAAAAGGGGGGGGGGGGGGGGTGGTGGGGGCCGGTAGGTGCAGCGGCGGGGCCAGCAGGTGCAGTTGCGGGGCCGGTAGAAGGGGACGGCAGGAGCCGTCAGGAGGGGACGGCGAGGCCGTCACGAAGGGACGGCGGGGCCGTCACGAAGGGACGGCGGGGCCGTCAGGAGGCGACCGGGCCGCGAAGGGGCGGCTGGGCCGGGATGGGGCGGGGCCGCGACGGAGGCAGGCGGCGGGGCCGCGTAAGGGCCTGGGCGGGGCCGCGACAGAGCCGTCAGCGGGGCCGCGTGAAAGCCGGGGTGGGGCCGCGTAGAAGCCGGGGCGGGGCCGCGCGAGAGCAGGCGGCGGGGCCGCGAAGGAGCCGGGGCGGGGCCGCGTGAGAGCAGGCGGCGGGGCCGAGTAAGGGCCTGGGCGGGGCCGCGACAAAGCCGTCGGCGGGGCCGCGTGAAAGTCGGGGCGGGGCCGCGTAGAAGCCGGGGCGGGGCCGCGCGAGAGCAGGCGGCGGGGTCGCGAAGGAGCCGGGGCGGGGCCGCGTGAGAGCAGGCGGCGGGGCCGCGTAAAGGCCGGGGCGGGGCCGCGACAGAGCCGGCGGCGGGGCCGCGTGAAAGCCGGCGACGGGGCCGCGTAAGGGCCGGCGGCGGGGCCGCGTCAGTGAAGGCGGCGGGGCCGCAGGGGAAATGGCGACCCGAGGGGTCGCTAAAAAAAATCGCGCCTCGGGGGGCGCTTCGGTGGGCCCAAAAAAAACGGTCCTTAGAAGGACCCGCTCTATACCATGTGATAATAAGCAAACAGGAATGAAATGACTAAGTCAGGGTTGGGTACAAATACAACCCTAGAAAGCTGTACCCCATATGTGCTACCCCACTATAGCCTACAAACATGCATCAGCTATAGTAATCTGACACTACCAGTGCAGAAATATAGTACCGGAATGCTTCTTTGGTTTGTACCTCCCTTCCTTCCCGCAGCCTGGTGTGATTGCGATACTATAACCATGCGACTGATATTATGTAACACGGGCTTATAGAGAAACGCCCTTAAAAGCACAATAAAGACCCAGGCTTATAAATGAATGCCCACAAAAAGGGTCACTAGTAGGCTTATAAAAATGCCAACAATAAAACACACAAGGTAGACTAGCTCCTAAGATAGCTTTGAGTCTTCTAGACTTGGTAGATGAAGCTTGGAGAGTGATAGAGTAGCTTCCACCAAAGGGACAGTTGGAGCTTAGAGCACTTGTGAGGGAAAAGTTCTGTACTTAGAGAAATCCCATTTCCAAAATTTTTCAATTGGAGTTGGGAATGAGAGAATGAGCCTTGGAGCTCCAAACCCCTTCCTCAATACCCATTGGGGAGCTCCACCTCCTCCACGGCAACAAGGGTAACGAGCTCCTTAAGGTGAGTTTGCTTAGGTGGCATGTGTTGGGCTGAGGATTTCAGCCTTAGGATCTTTGCAGAGAATAGGCTAGTAGGTGCTAGAGTAGCACAGCGGAAGTTTTTTGAGTGAATGTAGTTGTGCTGGTATGTGAGAACAAGTAATTGATTAAAGCAAAGAGCATACAGGCATATATAGAAAAGATAGATTACAGGAAGCGGTTATGTTTATCGAGACGCGTAACGCTTCGACTATCGAGGCGGTTACTGTTCACAGAAGCATCGCCTGCTGTTGCGTAACCTCCAGGCGGTTACGGCTCGCAACCTCCAGTTGCGGTTTGATGTGGTATACGCCTTTTCGACTTCATACCCCCTTTGTTGTGTTTCAGTATCGGGTGAGGTTCGATACTACAGAAACGCACCAAGTCATGCGTTTATATTCCCAACAGCATGTTGGTTGGATTTGCAACCAATGAGAGCAAATTATTTGTGATAAGAAATGTCTGGTTACCTGTTGTAACTTGTAACAGCAGCATTGAAATGTTATTGGTTTGAATTTCCACCAATGCAAAGGTTGGGCTGGTTCCCAACCTTGTTTGTCTTTTAGTGGATGGTGATTCACAATTGTGGACCAATCAACAATCATCCCTTCCAACCCTTTCTTCCCGTAAGTCGCTACCTTGCGTAGGTAGCGCTTTAGAGAGCCTTAGCTAGAATAGTCGCTAGGGTAGGTAGGTGATGCGTTACATATTAAGTGGGCAACCACATGTACGTAGACGCTCATGGCTGGACTGGCAACGACAGGTCGGAGGCAGCCATTAGTACAGGTAATACCTGCAGCTAGTAATTACTACCCTGTTAACAGCGAGCAATGCCTCTCAACATCCCCTTTCGTACCTCGCAAACCTCACTGGAACTATCACGTGGTTTTGCACTGCCACAATGCGACTGAATAGCACTCGTGCGACACGGCACGAGCGCCGCGCGTTCTACATGTGGCGACACCGTTTCTTGGTGTGCGCGCTTGGAGCCGATGCTGCGTTTTTAGGTATACAGCTTGCGCAGGATGGGAGAGACCCATCGTCACAAAGAGGCATGCCTCACCGCTTCTCGCGAGGTGGTGGGTTCAGCGTTGTGCAGCCGACTTTTGGCTGCAAGCTCTGCGCAAAGGCGAAGGCGAAGGTACTCGAAGACCCCCGGGGAGCAGTAACAGTAGTAGGTGTCAACAGCCATGGTTTTGAGTCGACTCAAAGCACGGAACGGTACCCGAAGGCCCCGGGGGAGCAGTAACCAACCAATCCGAGCACAGGTGTCGACAGCCATGGCGATGAATGAACTATGAATAAACCCCACCCAATCCGATCAAGCGGTGGTGGTACTTGTGTTCCTTGGCTCGTGCCGCCGCCAGCTGTACAGCCCACCCCACACTGCACGATGATGCTGTGGGGTCTTGGGTGGAGATTGGGTCTTGGGTAGAGATTGGGTCCTGGGTGGCGATGAATGAACCATGAATGACCCCATGAATGAGGTTCTGGGTGGAGATTGGGTCTTGGGTGGAGATTGGGTCCTGGGTGGCGATGAATGAACCATGAATGACCCCATGAATGAGGTCCTGGGTGGAGATTGCAAGGTCCGTGATAGTAACGTCGCCGATCCACACCACCCCACATTCGCAGATCCACACCACCCCACATTCGCAGATCCACTCCACCCCACATTCGAGGTCCTAGCAGGAGATTGGTCCGTGACAGTAACCACCAGCATGCAGCGAATCTGGACAGTGCCTTGCAAGTTGCAACATGTGCAGAGCAGGCGCAAGGGAATCTCCTACGTCTTCCTCTGTCGGCGCCCATCCCCCACGTGCCTCAGGCAGAACCAGCACAGACGGCACAAATGACACAGTTCTTAACACTCCTCTCTTTCTCCTCTCCTCATCCCCTCCTCCTCTCCTCTCCCCCTCCCCTCCCCCTCTCCTCTCCCCCTCCCCTCCCCCTCTCCTCTCCCCCTCCCCTTCCCATATCCTCTCCCCCTCTCCTTCCCATATCCTCTCGTCCTCCCCTCCCCTCTCCTCTCCACCTCCCCTCCCCCTCTCCTCCCCCTCCCCTCCTCATCTCTCCTCCCCCTCCCTTCCACCTTTCCTCTCCCCCTCCCCTCCCCTCTCCCTCTCCTCTCCCCCTCCCCTCCCCTCTCCATCTCCTCCCCCCCTCACCTCCCCATCTCCTCTTTCCCTCCCCTTCCCTTCCTCGTGAACACAACCCTCTCTTTCTCCCCACCCGCCCCGCCCTCTCGTCTGCCCGCCAGCTAACGGCAGCATCCAGCGAATCTCACAGAGCTCTGGTTCAGGTGCACACAGGGAACAACCTGCCCCTACTCTCTCCGCAACCCTCCCACAACCCCCTTCCTCCGCCCTCACTCTGCCTACCGGCAGCATCCAGTGAATCTGACAGAGCTCTGGTTCAGGCGCACACAACCCTTCTCTCCCTACTCTCTCCGCAAACCTGCCACGACCGCCTTCCTCCGCCCTCCCTCTTCCCTCCAGCTACCGCCAGCGTGCAGTGAATCTGGACAGGGCGCTCTTCCAGGGCGCCGAGGGCACAGCCCCCCCCTACTCCCTCCCCAACCCTCCCACAACCCCCTTCCTCCGCCCTCCTCTGCCCGCCTGCTACCGGCAGCGTGCAGTGAATCTGGACAGGAAGCTCTTCCTTCCCCAACCCCCCACCCTCCCCACATTCTCCCCCCATCCCTAACCCTTCTCCTATCTGCTCGCTAGCTACCGCGCAGTGAAGCAGGACAGGGCGCACAGAGAGCACACGCTCCCCATACTCCTTCCCCCTCTTCCTCACAACTCCCCCCTCACCCCCCTCCTTCCTCCCCCCGCCCCCCCCCCCACCCCCCCCACTCTCATCCCCCACCCATACTTATTCTCTGCTCTGCTTGCCAGCTACCGGCAGCGTGCAGTGAATTTGGACAGAGCGTTGTTCCAGGCGCACAGAGGGCACAAGCCCCCCCTGCTCATTGTGCAATCCCCCCTCTTTCCTTCCCCCTTACGTCCCCTCCCCCACCAGCTACCGGCAGCGTGCAGTGAATCTGGACAGGGCGCTCTTCCAGGCGCACAGAGGGCACAAGCTCATGCGGGACGTGCGACCCGCTGTCACTCGCTTCCACGTCTTCATGGGTGAGTTGACTCGCGTTGAATCGCGTTGAATCGCGTTGACTCGCGTTGACTCGTGTAACTTCAACGCACAGTGCTGATAAGGGACGTGCTGCCCGCTGCCGTCGCTTCTATGTCTTCATGGGTGAGTCAACTCGCGTTGACCTGCATTGGTGCGGCCTTCTGCCGATAGTTACGTGAAAGGAGTGTTTTGAGACGTCTCAAAACACTCCTCCTTTCACGTGGTGCGGCCTTCTGCCGATAGTTGACTTCAATGCATTCGTGAATACTCGCCGCGCACTCCCACCGAGAGTAACTCCCACCGAGAGTAACTCCCACCGAGAGTAACTCCCACCGAGAGTAACTCCCACCGAGAGTAACTCCCACCGAGAGTAACTCCCACCGAGAGTAACTCCCACCGAGAGTAACTCCCACCGAGAGTAACTCCCACCGAGAGTAACTCCCACCGAGAGTAACTCCCACCGTGCTTCGTCTGTGCTGCATCTCACCCCTTCCTGTTGCCTCATCTGCCAAACAGCCTGCAAGCCTAGCAGCTTGCCATCTTTTCCTGCCGCCTGCCCTTTCACTTTCCATTTCGTACCACCCTCCCCCCACCCCCGCCTGCTCCTGCCTCCGACTGACCTTCCATCTCCTCCATCCTCCGCCCTTCCCACTTGCACCCCTCCTGTCGGATCCTCTCCCCCCTTTCTCTTGGGCACCTCTGCACTCGTATCCGCGTATTCCCCCTCCTTCCCCATTCACACCTCAACACTGCGCGGCCTGCAATTGGATCAAGGCGTTTCGCGCCCCTCGCAGGCAGCCACGAGCGCCCTGACAGTCAATCTGTCATCTCGTAGGCCCCCATTGCTTCTTATTGGCTTGTCATCCCCCTTCCCTCCCCTCCCCTCCCCTCCCCTCCCCTCCCCTCCCTTCCCCTCCCCTTCTCTCCCCTCCCCTCCCCTTCTCTCCCCTCCCCTCCCCTCCCCTTCTCTCCCCTCCCCTCCCCTCCCCTTCTCTCCCCTCCCCTCCCCTCCCCTTCTCTCCCCTCCCCTCCCCTCCCCTTCCCTCCCCTCCCCTCCCCTCCACTCCACTCCGCTCCCCTCCCCTCCCCTCCACTCCACTCCCCTCCCCTCCACTCCACTCCCCTCCCCTCCCCTCCCCTCCACTCCCCTCCCCTCCCCTCCACTCCACTCCCCTCCCCTTCACCTCCCCTCCTCTCCTCTCCCCTCCCCTCCCCTCCCCACATTCCGCACTGCAGGCTGCAACTGATGGCCCGCCCCCTCTTCCCATCCTCCCCTATTCCGTCTGCTTTGTGTTGACTTGCCATCTCTTCCCCCTCTGCCTTCTCCACACCCCTTCCACTTTCCTCCCCTCTCCAGGCTGCAACTGGATGAAGCGTGGCATCTTGCTGCCCACCGCTTGACTACTCTGCTGCACCTCCCAACCCCCCTCTTCCTCCCCCGTCCCCCCCCCCCCTTCCCTGCCGCCAACCACACCTCTCCAGGCTGCAACTGGGTCAAGGCATTGCGTCCCTTCTTGAGCTACGTCCTATGGGAGCCCGCCACTTGAACCCCCCCCTCCTCCCACAGAAGCCCACCACTCGTCCCTCATCCGCTAATTCCTATGAGAGCCCACCGCTTAAATCCTCCTCTTCACCTTCCACCGCCCCCCTCCCCGCTCTCCTCTCGCCACCACAACTCGCCAGGCTGCAACTGGATCAAGGCGTCTCGTCCCTCCCTGCTATACGTCCTATGGGAGCCCTTCCTCCCCTCTCTACGGGAGTTCACCACCGGCACCCTACATGCCATGTCCCATTCCCCCTCGCCCTCCCCACCGCACGCGCTCCAGGTTGCAACTGGATCAAGGCGTCACGCCCCTTCCTGCACTACGTTTTATGGTAGCCCACCAGCTGAACTCTTGGGTGTACCTTTCACCCCTTCACTCCCTACTTCCTCCCCTCAACTTCCTTTCCTCCCCATTGCAACTGGATCAAGGCGTCGCGCCCCTTCCTGCGAGACGTTTTATGGTAGCCCACCAGCTGAACTCTCGGCTGTACCTTTCACCCCTTCACTCCCTACTTCCTCCCCTCAACTTCCTTTCCTCCCCATTGCAACCGGATCAAGTGTCTCTCTTCCCACTTCCAACTTTCTGCTGCACCCTCCACCCCCGTCCCCACACCTTTCCCCTCTCTCCCTTTCCCCTCTCTCCCTTTCCCCTCCTCTCCCCTCCCGTCCACTCGCACTCGCACCTCTACTCGCAACTCTCCAGGCTGCAATTGGATCAAGGCGTCGCGCCCCTTCCTGCGCTACGTCCTGTGATGGGCTTCCACTCCCTCCTGCCGCCTGCCTTTGCCCTGGCGTCTCATCACTCCCAACCCCTCTTCCTCCTCCCCACAGCGCAGGCTGCAACTGGATCAAGGCGTCGCGCCCCTTCCTGCGATACGTCCTATGGGCTGCCACCATTAGCACGGACAAGGCTGAGGATTGGGCAGCACTAGCTCACCTCACCGCAGGGCGGCGGTGGAGCTGGCAAGGAATATCTCAAGGAGCTCATGCCAGCTGCACTGGAGAATGTGCATGTGGCTCAACTGCGGGAGGCTAAGAGGTATCAGCAGAGGAAGGAGGGTAACAAGGAGCCACATCTCCTTGTGGCGCAGGTAACAGGACAAGGGAGTGGCGCAAGGAAGAGAGGTGTACCTGCGCCTCTCTTCCTTCCGCCAAGGGAGATACTCTGGACATGGCGGTTGGAGCAGAGAGATGGAAGGTAAAAGAAGTGCGCGCTGGTGCTGGTAGATGAGAAGGGGAGGGAGCAGCGAGAACATGTGACAAATGTCGCGGTGGCGGGAAAGGCGGTGTGGTGCCCAAGCTGACGGGTCCCGTGAGCAGAGCCGCTAAGGCAAGGGCTTTGGCACGGGAGGGGGCAGGGGTGCATGGGCACTGAAGGGAGAGAATAGGAGGAGTTGCAACCTGGGACCAGGGATGGGGACGGCAGAGAGCAGAGAAGGGAAGAGACAGGATTGTAAGAGAGAGGGCAAGGAAGGGAAGCAAGAGTGCAAGAGAGGGACAGAGGGTGAGGTCACGACATCCTCCCCCTCCCCCCTCTCTCCCCTTCTTCCTGCTTTCCACATGTCATCCCCCCCTCCTTGCGTTACATCCCAAGGATGGTACTCCGTGCTTTCTATAGTCTGCCACCTTGCGTTACATCCCAAGGAGGTGAATTCTCTGATGCACCTTGTATCCCCACTCTGCCTCCACCTCTCCCCTCCACCTCTTCTTTTGAGTCGACTCAAAAGTTACCGGGCTTCAACTGGATCAAGGCGTCGCCTTTTTCCCCTCTCCTCCCCTCACCTCTCCCTTCCACTCGCCCCTCTCCAGGCTACAACTGGATCAAGGCATCTCGCCTATTTCTTGTGCTTCTTGTTGACTTGCCATATCCTCCCCCCCTTGCCCACCTTTCAATATTCCCCCTTTCCACCTGCAACACTGGGCAGGTTGCAACTGGATCAAGGCGCCGCGGCCCTTCCTGCGCTACGTCCTATGGGAGCCCGCCAGCTGTACATGGCTGACGTCATCGACTCAGACGAGCACTACTTCAGCACCGTCGCCTGCCAGAAAGCTCGCTTCAACCGGTCCCTGCTCAACGCTAGCCTGCATTTCGCCACATTCGCCAAGGGCAGCCCGGGTAAGTTCACCTTCCCAGTGCTTGACTGTGTGTTGTGCCCCGCCAACCCCATTCACTCGCACGAGCATCACTTCAGCACCGTGGCCTGCCACTCGCCCCACTTCAACCGCACGCTCCTGAATGCGAGTCTCCATTTCGCCAAGGCCAGCCCGGTATGTTTCCATGTGATTCATTTGCTGAGAGGGATAGAATTCGAATGCTGGGAGCCACGGATTCTGATGTTGGGAGCCACTTGGACGAGCATCACTTCAGCACCGTCGCCTGCCACTCGCCCCGCTTCAACCACTCCCTCGTGAATGCCAGTTTGCACTTCGCCACATTCGCCAAGGGCAGCCCGGGTACGTATCCATGTGTGGGTGCCACTTTAACGTGCGCTGTGCGCCTGCCGCCACCACATCCACTCGGATGAGCACTGCTGGGGAGCACTTGCGCTCCTGACGTCATCACCTGACGTCATCGACTCGGACGAGCACTACTTCAGCACCGTCGCCTTCCCTCCCCTCCACTTCCCCTCCTCCCCCTGCTTTCCCCTCCCTGGCCCCTCCCCATCCCCCGTCCCCGATGGCAGCACTCCCTTGAGATGAACGATGCCTTCACTATTGGAGTTCTGAGTCGATCCCTTCCCTCTCCTCCCCTTCCCTGCAACCCCTTGTATCCCCCGACTCCCCCATCCCCTCATCTCAGCACTCCCTCGAGGTGAATGACTCATTCTACGATGCCTTCACCCATGTGCCATGCTTCAACCACTCTCTCCCCTCCCCTCCCCTCACCTCCCCTCCCCCCCCACCCCACACCGCAGCACTTCCTGGAGATGAACGACTCTTTCTACGATGCATTCACCAGTGGAGCTCTGAGTCGACTCATAAATGCCTCCTCTCTCCTCCCCTCCTCTCCACTCACCTCCCATGGCAGCACTCCCTGGAGATGAACGGCTCCTTCTACGACGCCTTCACCAGTGTGCCCCCTCACCATCCCCTCTTGTATCTTCCTCTCCCCTCTCCCCTCTCCCCTCCCGCTTCAATCACTCTCTCTTTCCTCCCCTCCCCAACCCCCCCCCCCCCCCCCCCCCCACCCCCCAATGCAGCACTCCCTCAAGATGAACGACTCCTTCTACAAGGCATTCACCAGTGGCGTCGTCCTCTTTGCCAGGAAGTTTCCTCGCAACTCACAGACTCTGGATAGGATTGACAGGTATGGCCAAGTCAACCCAGTCAAGCCAGTCAATGAAGTCAATACAGTCAAGAGACCAAATTAAGCTGGTCAATTGAAACAGCCCATTTCTACACAATCAACCAAGTCAACCCAGTTAAGCAATCCCACAGATGGTGTTTCGAGGCGCCTCAAGTTAACCAAGTCAATTCTGGTGAAGGAATGAGTACTATGCATCCAGAGAACACTAGACTTCACTAGTCTGGGCACTTGCAAGTATATCTCCAGAAAACTAGACTTCATTTGCAAGTATACATCTAGACTCTCTTCATGACGCTTTATTCCAGGTTGTTACAACATTGGCACTCCCTATACCTCCTCTACCTCACCTTACCCCATCTCACCTCTTCCCGTCCTTCCATACCCTCATCCTCCCTCGCCCATCTTCCCTTTTCCCATCCTTCTTTACACCTCCCCCCCCGCTTCCATTTTCCCATCCTCCCCCACTTGCTCGCAGGGAGCTGCTGCAGCGGCAGCCTGATAGCATCACCCCCGGCACTTGGTGCTCTCTCCCTGCCTCCACTGCCTCCAACCATGCCTCGCCTCCCGATTTTTACTCAACACCTGACCCCTCAAGCAGCGGTGATGGCACCACTGGCAGCAGCAGCAGTGTTGGTGTTATAGGCTGGCTGCAGCGGTTGATATCCCCTGCACCGTGCAGCCCTCACAGGAGGCAGACTACCACAGATACCCCCTACTCACTCACTTCTACAGTATTTTCACATGGTGAAAGTGAAACCAGCAACAGGGGGACAACTGCAACTGGAGGTGATGCTGAGCTAGCTGTCTGTCTACAGTACACACTGTGTTAGTATCCTCGTTGAGATTAGCACCAAGCAAGCGGGTAGAGGCCATGCTCCCTCGGTTTCTCTAGTTGCTGGACACAAGCAACTCGTGCCGAGTGCCAGAGGGGGACACCCGGTTGACAGAGGGAGTGTAGAGGGACGGAGAGGTTTCAAACATTGAGAAGTATCAGATTTTATTTGAAACCCACATGCGGTTTGCCGAGGAAGGACTTGTTTGAGCCTACCGTGTATGATATTGTATGGTCTTACGGCAAGTTAGCTGGTCTATTGAAATAATGTTGTGCATGTATAGTAGGTAGCTGTGAAAGTTTAGAAGAAAGAAGAGAGGTTGAACTAGCAGGAATGAGGATACAAATAGCAAACCCTAGAAGGGTTGTACTCGCTATAGAGCACCCCACTACAGGCTAGAGCATAAGATAACATTCTGACACACCCCCATAGCCAAAGTGGGGTGTAATCAGCAGAGCAAGCAAAGCAGTACAAGCTCAGGGTGGATCACAATGTCACCACACATTCTGAGCACAAGTTCAAGAAGCAATAGTTTAGAGTTCACAATTATGAGCAAAGCTAGAGGCTATCGCATAGGGCAAGTGAGGAGGAGAAGAGAGAGTGAGAGGAGAGGAGATAGGAGGCGACGGCTGAAGCTGCAGACACACGGGCAACAGGAGGCACACTGGCACAGTGGCTACCGGAACAACGCTCCGGAATACTGGAGTAACTGGCCCCGCGGCTAAAGTAGCGGCAGACGAGCAACGGACCCACGGGCGACTGGCACAGCTGGCTACGACTGGGCTACCGGACGAATTCCCCGGAATACAGGTGCTGCTGGCGACACGACGGCAACCTCCGTGCAACTTCCCCAAACAGTCCCACCCCCCTAACACACACCCGCTGCTACACCCCTAGCTCCACTCCCACCCCACCCCCTAGCACCACTCCGTCGAATCCCACACACCCACCCCCCTCAGCGGCAGCTGCAGCAGTGGGAGACAGAGGAGGAGGAGCAGGGGAGACCACACACCCGACACCCCCCAGGTCGCGGCCCCCGAAGGAGCCGCGACGGGCGACGGGAAAAGGGGGGGGGGGGGGGGGGGGAGGCGGTGTCGAGGAAGGGGCCCACCACGGGCCTGGTAGGGTCGCCCGAGCCGCGCGCAGGCGGCCCGAGTCGCGCGCGGGCCTGGCGCCGCCCGTACGGGCCGCGCGCGGGCCTCGCGCAGCCCGTACGGGCCGCGCGCTGCCTGTACGGGCCGCGCGTAGGCCACGACGGGCGACGGGGGGTGACGACCGGGTCCCCGTCGCCCGTCGCGGCGCCTCCCGAGGGCGACGCGCCGGTCGACGGGGCCGAAGCCCGCCGCGCGCCTCGGGGCGCACAGCGGGCAGAGAACCACCGCGCGCCCCGCCGCGCGCCCCAAACCGCCGCGCGCCTCGGGGCGCACGGCGGGAAGAAAAACTGCCACACGCCACGGGGCGTGCGGCACCGAGTGTAGTGATAGTAGTTGCAGCGGAAGCAAGGAGGTGGTAAGCCCACCCACAGGATCGATCCAAGGGGATCGACCTGCTCTGATAGCATGTGAAAGTTTAGAAGAAAGAAGAGAGGTTGAACTAGGAAGAATGAGGATACAAATAGCAAACCCTAGAAGGGTTGTACTCGCTATAGAGCACCCCACTACAGGCTAGAGCATAAGATAACATTCTGACAGTAACTGTATCGTTTTGTTTAGTTTTGAGCTTATCAATAATCTTGAATCGGATTGATATTGTCATACATGTTTACATGTGGCGACATGTTTAGCGATCAGAAAGTGATCGTCCATAGGATCACCTCACGAAGGTTCGCACACGACTATGTGTTGGTGGTGGGTCCTTGACCTCAATAGCAGAGTGAATGTAAAATGTTTGAGATGAATAAAACATGCAAGTTCAAGGAATATAAATAAGAGTACAGGGGAATACCAAGCGTCCTATCTAACCATGTACTCTAAGGGGTACATTCCCTTATTACAGCGAGACCCAACCGTGCGACTCCAGACGGTTACAAACTACCTAGGCAGAATCCTCGCCACTGTTGCTGCCTGATGCTTTCTGCCCAACAGTCTAGATGCCTCTGTAACCGTATGACCCTTCGCGTCACTTCCGTCCCTTCGTCTTCATTCTCGGTAGTGCGTGTTTTGATTGCTGCGGTAAGGAGTGCACAGTGATGCTTCAATAATTAATATTCGTACCAACCCCCTTCACCCCTGGCCGTAGAAGGTCTTGACCCGCTTGACTAATCCGCTGAGTTCGGAGCAGTGCTGATACTGCTGACGCGGCAGTTTCTTTGTGAGGAAATCTGCTGCCATGTCACCCGTCGGGCAGTAGGTTAGGTCAACCTTGCCCTTGTCACCTTCATCCTTGACGAAGAAGTATTGCAGCGTGATGTGTTTGGTTCGGCCAGGTTTGTTCGCGATCCTGATCACGCTCTGGTTATCGCAGTGCAGACGGAAGTTCCGTGAAATTGGAATTTTTGCCTCCTGCAGTAGTTCGTAAAGGTAAAGACCTTCGCGAACGGCTGGCGTTGCTGCAATGAACTCTGCTTCTGCCGATGACAGAGCAACCAGCTCCTGCTTCTGCGAGTTCCAGTAGATGGGATCGCTGGGTTCGAGGCGAAATAGAAAGCCCGTTCTGGACTGTCGATTGTTGGGATCAGCAGCATGGTCAGCATCCACGTATCCGATGAGGTTGAATGATGCGGTTGGGATGGTGGAATAGCAGAGCCCAACATTGGGCGTGGAAACGAAGAATTGAAGTGCTCGCTGAAGATCTGAGAGATTTTCAACCGTTGGTTTGCGGGAGTACTGGGCAAGCTGACTCGCGATGTACGAGAGGTCTGGCCTGCAGGTAACAGAGGCAAAGATCAGGCATCGGAATTGCTGCTGGTAAGTCTGAAGCCCAGGAGGGGACAGGGCTTTGTTGTCAGTTTGTGGTTGGGTCCTGGAGTGCGGTAAGGGGTGGAGAGTGGTGCAGGTGCGATGTTGAAGCGCTTGCCAAGTTCCTCTGCGTACTTGGCTGCTGAGAGATGAATGGCTTCCGACGAGTAGGAGATTTTGAGCCCGAGGAACTACTTCATGTCATGGTTGCAGGTGATATCGACACACCCTGCGAGGTTTTTCTCGAACTGCTCGAGCAACTCGTTGCTTGACCCTGTGTAGAGGAGGTTGTCGACGTAGACCGTGAGTAGGATATATTCGTTGCGAAAATTGCGGCGATACATCCCTGGATTGTGAGGCAGCTGCTTGAACCCGATTTCAAGCAGTATGTTGTGCAGGTACTGCTGCCAGAGCCTTGGTGCTTGTTTGATTCCGTAAAGGGATTTTCACAACTGGCAGACTCGTGAATCCCCTTCGACGTATGTGTGCAGCTGCTCCATATAGATCACTACATCTACTAACGCGTACAGAAACACATTCTGTCAAAGTTTGAAGGAAGAAAAGAGGATTGAACTAGCAGAAATGGGGATACAAATAGCAAACCCTAGAAGGGTTGTACTCGCTATAGAGCACCCCACTACAGGCTAGAACATAAGATAATATTCTGACACACCCCCATAGCCAAAGTGGGGTGTAATCAGCAGAGCAGGCAAAGCAGTACAAGCTCAGGGTGGATCACAATGTCACCACACATTCTGAGCACAAGTTCAAGAAGCAAAAGTTTAGAGCTTACAATTTTGAGCAAAGCTAGTGGTAGTCACAACGGGCAAGTGAGGAGGAGGAGAGAGAGTGAGGGGGGGAGATAGGAGGCGACGACTGAAGCTGCAGACACACGGGCAACAGGAGGCAGACTGGCACAGCGGCTACCGGACAGCGCCCGGACTACAGGAGTAACAGGCCCCGCGGCTAAAGTAGCGGCAGACGGGCAACGGACCCATGGGCGGCTGGCGTAGAAGTCTAGCTCACTGGGCTACCGGGACAGCGCCCCGGACTACAGGTGCTGCGGACAATAGTACGGCAACCTCCATGCAGCTTCCCCAAACAGTCCCACCCCCCCCGACACACACCCGCTGCTACACCCCTAGCTCCACTCCCACGCACCCCCCTTAAACCCTAAACCCCAGTCTCCCACACAACCACCCCCCTCAGCGACAGCTGCAGCAGTGGGAGACGAAGGAGGAGGAGGAGCAGAGGGAGTAAAGTACACCGGTCACCCCCATACCCGCCACCCCACAGCTCGCCCCTCAAGGGGAAATGGGGGGGAGGGGAGAAAGGGGGCCCACCACGGACCTGAGAGAGTCGCAGGTGGGGGCACGGGGCCGGGGCCGCGAGTAGGGCGACGGGGCCGCGCGGGCGGCGACGGGGCCGCTGCGGCGGCGACGGGGCCGCGCGGGCGGTGAAGGGGCCGCGGCGGGTGGGGACGGGGTCGCTGCGGGCGGCGACGGGTCGGTGGCGGGGCCGCGACGGGTCGGTGGCGGGGCCGCGTCCGGAGTTGGCGGGGCCGCGACCGAAGGCGGCTGGGCCACGACGTGAGGCGACAGGGCCGCGACCGGAGGTGGCGGGGCCGCGACGGGTCTGTGGCGGGGCCGCGACCGAAGGTGGCGGGGCCGCGACCGGAGTGGGGCGGCGGGGCCGCGACGGGTCCCCGTCGCCCGTCGCGACGCCTCCAGAGCGGGACGCGGCGAACGCCGCGAGGCAGACGCCCGCCGCGCGCCTCGGGGCGCACAGCGGGCAGAGAACCGCCGCGCGCCTCGGGGCGCACGGCGGGCAGAAAACCGCCGCGCGCCTCGGGGCGCACGGCGGGCAGAAAACCGCCGCGCGCCTCGGGGCGCACGGCGGGAGGAAAAAGTAG